TCTTCACCCCCTGTGTAGTTAGGATCATAAACCCAGTTCAACTCCAGCCTGTGTATAAACCACTTTTACACACAGAACCAGTTTTACCACGTACAGGAAGGAAATGGTCTGGGGAGGCTGAGGAAGCCATGAAAGACTGCTTCAGCACCACTACGAAAGATGAAATCCGCTAACCTCAAGGAGAAGACATTTAAATGGAATAACAGAGTCAGGAATTACATACTATAATTTTCTGTTGGTTGGCTACTGTGCTCTGAATCTGTTTGCTGTTAGCCCTGCATAAACCTTAAATTGGTTGGTGGTAGCGGATGTAAAAAAGGAACTTCAGACTGCTGTGCAGGATTCAGACGCTTTAGATGTTTGAATGTAATTATGTGACGAAAATGTTCATTCCCTCTAAAAAGAAAATGTAGCTCCAACTTAAATTAATTGCTTCAATTTGCAACAAGTAATTGAACTAATTTTGCCTGGTTGCAACTTATAAATGTAATAAATTAAGTTGTATTAATTCGATTCAATTACCTGTTACCAATTGAAGGAATTCATTTGCATTGGAGCTGCATTTACTTTATGGTGTGTGGATGATGCTTGCCTCCTAGAACTACAGCACTCTGAGAAAAACATACAAAGACGCAAATTATAGAACTGTAGTGAACAGCTTAAGCTCCATTACAAAAAACAATGTAGCATAAACATATGAAGGTGTGTCCATTAACATGTGTCACACAAAAAAATATAATGTATTTTTGATTATTTCTGTGAGGTGATCTGTGCCTATTGTATGTTGTACATGGTGCCATACAAAGGATTGCTTATGGATCCTAAACACCGGATCAGAATGTTGAGATGTCCCTGTGCTAATGAACTTTGATAGGAAGCATTCAGTCTTCATGCATCAGAACAAAACCGGGGCCTATTGCTAATGGTTCTGCTGTAAGGGCAGGACCCACTTGGGACGTCAGGCCCTCATACAACCCTCATGGAGTCTGTTTCTTATAGTTTATGCAGAGGAATAATTATTAGTGGCCTCCTACAAGTTTTTCCACAGGACTCTGGCTAAATTTAGTTTAGGTTGTAGCTAAGGTTATCATTTTAAAACACTGACGCACAGGGACCGAATTCATATGAGCACTTTCCGGCTTTTTATTTTTTATTTTTTATTTATACTACACAATAAAGGTTCTTGTTTGTGTGATCTTAAACATAACCTCATGGATTAGATTTGTGGTTATTTGATCAAATGTTAAAATAAGCATTGGGTATGGATACCTTGTAAAGTCACTGTAATTAAGATGTCATCTTAAACTTTAATCTACAAGAGGATTTTTAGATAGTGAAAAAGTAAAGTAAAGCCTACAGGACTCAGTTTACAAAAGGGTGTTTACTTAAAATCAATCTTTTGGACACAGACTCTAAATTTATGGCATATCCAATCCGCCCTTAAAAAGCCTTTTCCAATTTTCTCCCTGTCATTAAATCAGTTACTTGACTGTCCTCTGCTCTTTTTTCTTATTTAGCTATTCCTCCAGGACAATGGATAAAGAGATGAGTCACCCTCCTCCTGTCTTGATTTTCCCTCCTTTTAATTACACCACACCTAAAGATCTGTGCAATGATGCCTGCAGTGCAGTTTGTACAAGTTAGGTTAATGAATTCTTAAATATACCCCCAATCACTGAGAGAATAAAGACGATGGTTGACTGATCTAATTCCAAAGAGACAGTGGTTTTTGTTCACTCACTTAATTTGTACTGAGACCAAAAGGTGGACTTTTATAAGATTGTTTTGTTTAAATGCCAAGTTGATGACTCTTATATGAAGAAAGAGTTGTGGTGAATGCTGTATTTGCTTTTACTTATATATTTTACTCATACATACTTAGAGTTTTTGAAACAGAAACTTATCATTTAGGCGTCATATTCTCATTAGTTCCTATCAAACAATCAGGACAGTTTAAATTTTTTTTACACAGTTAATACTTACTTCTTAGGTAAAAGTGTCATCGTTACATTTTTGTCTTTACAGATATTTGGGCAATGTCTTATTAAAACTGCTATTTAGTTGATTCACTTTTAATAAATACATAATTTAGGCCTATAAATTCAAAATAATTTCTCCTTAGACATGAAGGTGATTCTGGTGTCTTGCAGAGGTTAACCCTTGAACTTTTTCACATTTTGGCTCATTTCATCGACCTTTAATTGAATAAGCGTGTTGGTGTGTGTGTGTTTGTGTCCAGCTCAGAACAGAAGGACCCAGTATTTAAAGGGATAGTTCGGTATTTTTGACATGAATCTGTATGGCATCCCCATCACCAGTGTCATGCAATCACACTGACTTACCCCTGGCAGCGTCCTGTGAGCAGAGTTCTCGTCCAGTTTTGGTCAAGCCGAAAGTAGTCCGGCAGGTTTGCTAGACCCAGCGAAATAAAACGTTTCTCTTCCCAAAACATTATGTGTTCAAAAGAGTGATATTTTTGCATCCCAAAAACGTTGTAGTGGAAAAAGTCACACGTCGTTATCACTTGGTCCTATTTTCTCTCTGTTCGTATCAGTGCGCGCCGTCATTCAGACAGCTAGGGCCCTGATACGAACAGAGAGAAAATAGGACCAAGTGATAACGACGTGTGACTTTTTCCACTACAACGTTTTTGGGATGCAAAAATATCATTCTTTTGAACACATAATGTTTTGGGAAGAGAAACGTTTTATTTCACTGGCTCTAGCAAACCTGCCGGACTACTTTCGGCTTGACCAAAACTGGACGAGAACTCTGCTCACAGGACGCTGCCAGGGGTAAGTCAGTGTGATTGCATGACACTGGTGATGGGGATGCCATACAGATTCATGTCAAAAATACCGAACTATCCCTTTAAGGTGGACAAACAGATTTCTCAGAACATTTATTGACAACAGAATTGGAGTAAGCGGTGTTGGTGTAAAGGCAGGAACCTCTGCGGTTGGAGACAGCAGGTTAGTGACCACTTCTTTCTAGAACTGAATGATCACAAACGTGCAAGCGACTAACCAGGTCTAATAGTTCAGTCCGAATCCAGAGATAGAGGATGGTTCCAGTGAAGCAGACAAATGTAGACAGAGGGAGAAGCCAAAGCCGGTATCGGTGACATGCCAGGAGGTCAGAGATCTGGTGAGATGCCAAAGGAGAATCCAAGATGGAGTCGGGTCACAGTTCCAGGTGCAGTACACACTGGGCGATCCTAAGCAGGTGTGTGAAATAAGTGATCAGACCAGGCATCAGAGACATATATGGTCATTTCCAAAATTTTGTGTATGACCATATATTATTTTACATAGCAGAGGAACATGTATGCTTTAATTCAGTGACCTTGCATTTTGAATGAAGCAGTATAATTCCTCTGGAACTCACAAAATGTTATCTTTCTCCTGCCTGGATCCTGGAAGGAGAAGCCTCTCTCAGGGTTGTTTTCTTTTTACCTCCACACATCTGCTTTTCTTTAGTGTTTTGCCATATGATGAAAGACTTGTTGCACAGTGGCTAACTCTGAAGTGTGCCTGAAATGCTTTTTGCCTTTAAATAAACTTACAATGACAAGATCCTTCTTCTCTTACTTTATTGCAATGGTGACTTACTCCTTTGCTTTCCGCTTTGTCACAAATTTTCTCATTATTCCTGCTTCTAATGTCGAACTAACGTCCTGCTAAAAAATTCCAAGTTGCTACTTGTTTTTTTTTCTGTTGCAAAAACACAACATTAAACTGCCTTATTATTTCAAAACTACCCAATGACAAACTTGATGTGGAATAACCTTTACTATTAAAAAATATGTAGAGACTTTGTCATTCTACTTTTCAAAAAAGTGTCAATAGTCTAAATAAAATGAAACATACCAATAAGAGCTAGTTTCCGATATTTTTGCTAGCTGTATAAACTGTTAAAGGGGCAAGGTTATGTATTTTTCAGGCAAAAGACAAACCTTTATAAAAACTTTTATGAAAGAAACATGTTTTTAGATATTTGCCAAGACTATCTAATTTTATTGTGACAGCATAATATAAGAGAAAGATAATCTGAGCTACTATTGTTTTCGACAACAATACAGCACTACTGACCAAAAACAACCAATCAGAATCAGGAGGACCATCTTAGCGCTGTCAATTATCCATCAATGGCAGGATCCCAGGTGGTATTTAATTCCAGGATGGAGTCATATTCAATAGGAGGAAACCAGATGAAGCTACTATGACAAGAAAATAAAATACATAAAGTTATGGGTAAAACTAACAAATACTGTAGAATGCACGAATAGAGATGGAATAAAACAGAATGATGACATGTGTCCCCTATGTCCACCAGCAGCTTAAACTTATAACAGCATAAATATAGAAAATTAGCTCATGATAAATTTGGGATGAAAAGGTAACTTATTTCAGTTTAATATGGGAAAAAGTCAGAATTCTGAGATGAAAGTCATAATTCTGAGAAAAAATATCATAATTCTGAGATTAAAGTAATACATCTGAGAAATAAAGTCATAATTCTAAGATTAAAGTCATAATTCTAAGATTAAAGTCATAATTCTGAGAAAAAAAGTCAGAATTCTGAGATTAAAGTCAAAATTCTGAGAGAAAAAAATCATAATTCTGAGATTAAAGTCATAATTCTGAAATTAAAGTCATAATTCTGAGATTAAAGTCATAATTCTGAAATTAAAGTCATAATTCTGAGATTAAAGTCATAATTCTGAGAAATAAAGTCAGAATTCTAAGATTAAAGTCAAAATTATGAAATTAAAGTCAGAATTCTGAGATTAAAGTCAGAATTCTGATTTAAAAAAAGTCAGAATTCTAAAACAAAATACTTTTTTTTTTTTTTTTTTTTTTTTTAAGTATCTATATATCGAGACTGTGGCGATTATTACAATTTTTGCAGAATCTTCGGCTCAGACCCCCCCAGAAAACGACAAAAGACAAAACGTGATTTTGGGGTTCTGCTCTGAACGCCTCCTGCCTACTATACCCAGAATGCACCGCGCGGGTCAAGATGGAAGAAACCAGCTGCAGCAGGAGAACAATGTTTGGGCTGTAGATTTTTAAAAACGGAGCCTCTGGGGGTAAAATAAGCGAGCCGCCGCTGCGGATCATGGTCCTGCACCGGTAAGATGATTGTATACAAGCTAATCTTTTAGGATGCTGTGGTTTATAGCCTCGTTATGAGCGGAATAAACCAGCGCAGCGCTGAGAGGTTAGCTGCTGCTAAGTTAGCCGCTCCTCCTGTCGAGACGAGCATCATTGTTCGCTGAGTTTAGTTGGGCCGTTTGGTTTTGGGTCAGTCCTGCCCAGAAAACACAACTAAATACTTAAATAACTCATTAGCTAAAAAATAATAAAATACATTAATTATTCAGTTTTTTGTGTTTTATTTATTTATTTTTTTAGCCCCAAATTTATTTCGTCCATTTTTTTTAAATAACTTACTCTAATTAAATATGTAAAAACTAAAATACCGTATATGCAGCTTCAGCTGCTTTTGTTTGGGTAAAATATCTTAAGTTAAGTTGTGAATGTGTCGGGGCGTCTTTGAAAGCAAATGAGCTGCTGTTTTTGTGGCCATATTAATTATTGGCATCACAAAGAAGGGCCCCTGAAAACTGCTGAGCCCAAACGATTAGCAGAGGAGCTAATTTACATCCAACCAGCCTGTGAATGATCTGCTGTGTTACCAGCTCTCTGCTCACCCACTAAAATACACCTAAGAGAAAAAGAAGTTAAAGTAAATCCTGTGTTGTTTGCTCTTGTTTTCCACTAAGCTGTTGTGGATCAGGCTGTGTTGCTGCTAATGCTGCATTGGAGATGGGAGCATTTGAATCCAGCCTTCCTAAAAATATATATATTTTTATTCTCTATTCATTTTTTTTTAACAATTTCGCAAAATTTTCAATTTAGACTTGGCGAATTTGTTTAAAGTTTTCTTCTTCTTTTGATTTCTGATATTATATTTAACAGATTGCGCATAATTAATCTATTCTCTTAAAATTTAACCTTTTTTATTTAGAGCTATGTGCTGCTTATATTGTTCAAAAACCGTTGATTTATAAGATTGATTTCCTGCCTTATAAATTAGATTTATTATATGTTACACTTCAATTCTTTATATCTTTGTCTTTTTCAATAAGACATTTCAAAAATGTAATTTCTAAAATGTCTTGGTGCATTAAAGATGCTTTTACAGACATACCAAGTTCCAAAAACTCATTTCAGGGAGAAATTCTTATGACGATATGCGCTGGAACAGACATAGTAACTGATAAGTCCTTTGGATCTATTCCATTCTTTTTATTATAAATTCTGTTTTACTAATTATTTAAAAGCAATAAGGTGATAACTTCAGTGGGATTGAGATAGGATCCCAGTTTTCATCTGTTAAATGTTAAATTTCCCACAGCAAATAAAAAAATGCTCTAATTTTTACAGATGAATTTAAGTTTTTCTTGAATTCAAATTTATAGAAAACAGTATTTTTTTAACTTAAATTAAGTCAAAAAAAATATGTAAAATTCCTAAATTATAAATGTATATTGACCTCATAAAAAATTGCATTTTTATTGAACCTCATTGAGAAGAAATTTCACTTCATTGAATCTCTTGCCCTGTTTTTATTTCATGCTTTTCTGTGCCCCCATGAAAGCATGCTGCCCCCCTCCTGGCCCCTGGTACATTTGGTCTAGATCCGCCACTGTTCCTCACCTTCTCTAGACGTGGATATACTATATTTTTGTTTTTTACTCGAAGGTTGAACCTCTGCTGTTTCACAGGATGCACAGCTTTGAGTGCTAACTAGGTGACTGCCAGAGAGTAACGCCAAAATTATCAGGCTGATCCAATCCAATGAGCGCTCTCTGACAACCAGTCACCTGGAGCGCTGATGGAACAGCATCGCTTTGAACAGATACGCTGCACAGGTTTCATAGGCAACCTCCTCCCCACACCCTGCTCTATCTTGTCTGTGCAATCAAAGTAGTTCTAATCAACACATGGTGCAAAAATTATTATACTGCCTGATCGCTCTCACTCACATTAAAAAAACTCCACCTCACATAATCTAAAATCCGGGATAATTTATCCGATTTGCGGGCATCCGTGAACATCTATATCAGGGAGACTCCCGGAACTTCCGGGAGACTTGGGATTTCTGTTTTTACAAGTTTCAAAGACAGTACCTTGCTTGCAGCACATGGTCATGTAATGATATGTGATTACAAAACGTTATAGACTACATATCATATCAGTCCTATTTTTTTTTTCTAATGAATATTATTTTTAACTGTAGAAAATCTGAGCTCTGTGGGTAAAAAAAATCATTCTAGAAACGCATTTCTAAAAGTTGAGGTTTTTTTTTTTTTGGCTTGGATTCACATTAATAACAGTTAATAAAAGCCTAACTGCTATCCAAGCATTCTTTGTAGATGACTGTGTACAGAGAATTAAACATCAGGGAAAGGCTAAAGAGTGTGACACTTTGGAGTCTTGGCTAGTGTTACATCACCTTTAGACAATCAGAACTCAATTCTCATGAAAATAGAGGTTGTCAATGGCGCAGTATTAAACCAGCAGCAAGCAGAGCCCAGTCAGGCCTCGTTTACTATTGTTTAAGCTGCGACTGTAGCTGCATTACTTTTAATAACCCCAAAGACCTTTGGTAGTTTTACAGACAACTCTTTTCTTTTATTTAAGCATAAAAATAACCCAAAAGTAAAACGTTTAATGCCATATGTTGCAAAAACATCTGCAGATGTTTGTTGTTCCTCTTGTTAGACAATTTGTTTATGCTGTCGCTGCTTTATCTGATAAACAGTGGTTTTAATGCAGTCTGTATGCACTCTCATTCACAGATAAGCTGGTACAAATAGGATGACTGGGTCAGACGTTCTATCATGCAGATTAAGGCAGCCCCAGTCCCGTCGTTCCTCATACGTTGTTTAGAACATACACTATATTGCCAAAAGTATTTGCTCACCCATCCAAATTATTGGAATCAGGTGTTCCAATCACTTCCATGGCCACAGGTGTATAAATTCAAGCACCTAGGCATGCAGACTGTTTTTACAAACATTTGTGAAAGAATGGGTCGCTCTCAGGAGCTCAGTGAATTCCAGCGTGGAACTGTGATAGGATGCCACCTGTGCAACAAATCCAGTCGTGAAATTTCCTCGCTCCTAAATATTCCACAGTCAACTGCCAGCTGTATTATAAGAAAATGGAAGTGTTTGGGAACGACAGCAACTCAGCCACGAAGTGGTAGGCCACGTAAACTGACGGAGCGGGGTCAGCGGATGCTGACGCGCATAGTGCGAAGAGGTCGCCAACTTTCTGCAGAGTCAATCACTACAGACCTCCAAACTTCATGTGGCCTTCAGATTAGCTCAAGAACAGTGCGCAGAGAGCTTCATGGAATGGGTTTCCATGGTCGAGCAGCTGCATCCAAGCCATACATCACCAAGTGCAATGCAAAGCGTCGGATGCGGTGGTGTAAAGCACGCCGCCACTGGACTCTAGAGCAGTGGAGACGCCTTCTCTGGAGTGACGAATCGCGCTTCTCCATCTGGCAATCTGATGGACGGGTCTGGGTTTGGCGGTTGCCAGGAGAACGGTACTTGTCTGACTGCATTGTGCCAAGTGTAAAGTTTGGTGGAGGGGGGATTATGGTGTGAGGTTGTTTTTCAGGAGCTGGGCTTGGCCCCTTAGTTCCAGTGAAAGGAACTCTGAATGCTTCAGCATACCAAGACATTTTGGACAATTCCATGCTCCCAACTTTGTGGGAACAGTTTGGAGCTGGCCCCTTCCTCTTCCAACATGACTGTGCACCAGTGCACAAAGCAAGGTCCATAAAGACATGGATGACAGAGTCTGGTGTGGATGAACTTGACTGGCCTGCACAGAGTCCTGACCTCAACCCGATAGAACACCTTTGGGATGAATTAGAGCGGAGACTGAGAGCCAGGCCTTCTCGTCCAACATCAGTGTGCGACCTCACAAATGCGCTTCTGGAAGAATGGTCAAAAATTCCCATAAACACACTCCTAAACCTTGTGGACAGCCTTCCCAGAAGAGTTGAAGCTGTTCTAGCTGCAAAGGGTGGACCGACGTCATATTGAACCCTATGGATTAGGAACGGGATGTCACTTAAGCTCATATGTGAGTCAAGGCAGGTGAGCAAATACTTTTGGCAATATAGTGTAGTCATGGTGTCTTTATTTTTGTCCAGAAACAGACACCTTACTCAACCAGACAGAATTTGGTTCCTTTGCTCCTTCACCTTGTTTTCGCATGTCCCAGACACCAGCTCTTTGTTGACCCACAAACTGACGGTTTAATCCGACTAAGCACATCGTTGTTAGATCAGAGGCCACGGCTTTGATTCCTGAAGACCAAGCTTAACTGGCTCCTAAACTATTGTTTGCGGACGGGTTGATTTTACACAGCTTATCCAAAATATGTTATTGTTGCCATAAACATCAGCTCCTCTTTTTTTTTCTTTTTTTCTCTTAGGATAAACTTGATTTCTGCCCCTTAGCCTTCCTGCCCACCAGCCATCAGTATGAACATCATTCAAGATAAATTAGGGAATGAGTTCCTGCGCTCCAACGGGAGCATGGACTCCAACTTTGGAGCCGGCATGATAATGTTCAGCCATCTTCCTCCGGTAACCAGCTTCACCCGACTGTCGGCCCACTCCGTCATGCAGGAACTTCCACCTCAAGATCTGATCCTGAAGAAGGAGCGGGAGTCTCCTGACTGCAGCATGGGCTCCCAGGGCTGCCTCCAAGGGGGAGACTTTGTTCATGCCATGGGCATCAAACAGGAGAAGCAGTCAGAGCACGATTACCGCCTGCCGCTCTACCCTGGAGGGCTGGGGAAGAGCGGGGAGCTGGTGACTGTTGGTAACGACCAGAAGCTGCTGGTGTGCGACCTTAACATCGGAAATGTAGGTACCAATGACAGACCAGTGGAAAGATGTGGTTTAAAACTAAATACTTTGCTTTGAAAGTTAAATCGATTCTGTTGATAAAAGGTAAAGCATCTGAGAAAATAATTACAATGATGAGATTTTTGTAGTGAGACAATGGAGTGCATGTTCATTAATAATTCTTAAAATGTATAATCCCCTAATCCCCAACCTTGCATCTGGAATCTGTGGAAGATGCTCACATTTTTTTTGTCATATATTTAAAGTAATAAAAACAGTAAATTAACTTCATATATGAACAAAAAACAAAAAAAACCTATGTCCTAAATAAAAAGTGTGTTTTATCACTGTAGGAGAGAGGAATTTCAAAATTTGCGAGGGAGAAAGAGCGTCATAAAAAAACCCTCTATAAGTTAATTTCAAGTATTAATCAATATTTTACCTGAACCTAAAGTTAATATAAAAATTGTTTTAAATTATCAGTTTTAACAAAAATGTTGCAGAGGAGCCCACAGTGGAGACGATGAATAAACGACAATGGCTGTGGGTGAAACATTACAGGGAGAATCAATTCAAATGCAACTCAGACATTACATTTAAGCTATGCTTATGGCCTCCTTTGTAATCCAGGGCTGGTAAAAGCCTCAAGAGGGGTCTGATAGCTCGCTAAATAGTTGGGAACAATGTTGGATTTAGGCAAACTTGGTGCCAGTGATCTAGTTTAAAACTGCTTTGTAGCCCCTCATCCATCCATCCATCCATCCATCCATCCATCCATCCATCCATCCATCCATCCATCTGGCATAAGCCAGATTAATATGTGTTGTTCATGTGGAATTTTACTAGTTTCCATCTGGGAGGCCTAATGTAAAAAGAGTTTACAAAACTGAGGGGCCATCTATGCATCCTCTCCTGCTTTAGTTCTTGTCAGGGTGGGCAGGTCGCCAGTCTGTCGCAGGCAAACACAGAGAAACACAGACATACAACCATGCACACACATACTCACACCTAAGGAGAATTTACAAAAAAGCCAATTAACCTAACAGTCATGGTTTTAGACTGTTGGAGGAAGCTGGAGTACCCGAAGAGAACCTACGCATGCTCAGGGAGAACGTGCAAACTCCATGTAGACAATACCGTGGGCCAGGAATTAAATCCAGAAGCTTCTCGCTGCAAGGCAGCAGTGCTACCCACTGCAGCATCGATCAGCCACAAAAGTGAGGGGTATTCCGTACAACTCTTCAAGCTGATTGGGTACCTGTCTCCCATGTCAAGTTTTTAGCCAGTCGCAGTAGCAGCTGTGACATATCACATTATTTGTTTCACAACTGACGGAGTTAGTCCACAAATTTAAGAACCCCCTCCTTTTACTCATTTTTCAAAAAGAAATGGAGGGTATTCCAGCGCGAACCAGTGCAGCCATGTTTGTTTTGCTATAGCCTTCTGCCTCTAGTTAGCAAGTTGATGTCACACATGTCCCTGCATTTCATGGGTACGAAACATTTCTGCATCAAGCTGATGCACCTGTTTACTCCTAGAAAGATGTTTTTCCAGGATTTTGTGAATTCGCAACCCTTTTTACAAACCATGTTGTTTGCCAGGTAAATATGAGCTTCTAAATGCATAGAATGGATGTTAGAGGTGTTTCCACACAATCTTTTTAATTTCCAGTACGATGCAGATATTGAAGCTTTGAGATTTGACCAATAACGACATTGACCTGATACAATATTAGCATAAATCGTGCATTCTTTAAATGCTTATTTTGTTTTGCTTAACATTAGAGAAAACTTCATCAAATCATATTACTTAAAAAGCTGAGTGATTTATTGTTAGCTGATAGGTAACAAAGTTTAACCAGAAACGAGAAGCAGATTGTTTCTATTTGCATGCTTACATTGGAGATCTGATTCAATATATTCTGTCTCGTTTCGATACAGAATCAAGACATCCCTAATTAATGTTTAAAACTATTTGAAAGGATCAAGAAGTATGACAAGATGAGACTTAAAAAGTATGTTTGTTGCTTTTGTATAAAAGTCCTGAAGTGTTTTGTAAGCTAAAATAAGAGAGTGTCCTCCAAAGTGTGTTTAGATCATATCTGTAGCCTTTATTTGATGTCTGATGCTTTGGCCCAAAAAATGCACAGAATTAAGAGTCAGAAGGAGGAGGAAAAACTGCTCAGTGAAAGAATATTATTTGCTAATTAGAGTTAAAACAAGAAAAAGCTAACTCTGGGTTCGTTAGGAAACAGGGATTAAAGTAAATCCCCAAAACTGAGATGATTAAAATAATTTGGGTTGATAAAATGTCTCCATGCACTTCAGTTCTCCACCAACATTCAGGATAAAACAGAGAGAGTATCCAAAACGGGCTAGCTAAAAGCTTTTTAATGCTTCAGCTCTGAGTTAGTTCCTAGGTTGTTCATTGGATCCAGTTAAGAAACACTCTGGCATCAACATTTTTAACCACCAGAAAAAATTACTTAATCTTAAATTAATTTGAGAAAAACTAACAAAACTCTCTTAGTCAAAATTAACTCAGCTGAAACAACCAGAACAGATAATAGAAAAACCTTATTATTTTATTACTCAGGGTTTTCCTCACTTTGCTCATTTATAAACTGATCCCATCTGAATTGGAGAGGACATTTTGGCAAATTATTCTTCGAAATAGGAGTTTTTTTCTATAGGGAAATTATGAATCAACAAAATCTTAAAGAGGTTTAACACAAGCTTAAATCTGAGATGTCTCCATCACTAAAACCAGGTTTATGCCAAAAATGTTTTCATAAACTTGAAATAAAGCAGTTCATTGAATTGTCTTTCAACCAAAAAAAATACTTTTTCATGGAGCTCTTCACCGTTTTCTCTGAAAATTTAGATTTTTTTTCCAGCTGCACTCTTCAACATTCATTAAAGAAAAAAGTGAGAATAGAATATTATTAGTCTGGCGATTCCACCTTTATCCCCGAGCCGGCGATGCATGATGATTGTGTTGCCGTCCAGAAGCCTGTGAGAATCTAACGTATGGAGACATAAATCTCCTGCCGGCTTCAGATGCAAAGTAGTTTCTCTCTCTGAGCAGAAGGGTGATGTCATCTGGCCGCAGCGTGAATGAGAACGTCTTTGCAAGGACGCAGCTGTCTTGTTTGAGTTTGCACTTCATTTCAGATGTCTTTTGTGCTCATTCAAACAGAAATATACACATCCACACTCTGCTAACAATAGTAAGCCATCAGAGGTCATGAGGTCTGAATATTTAACAGATTTAATGATTGTCTTTTTTTAAGCAAGTTTTTTTTTTTTTTTTTTAAGAAATTATGCTGGGTTTAAACACAATAGATTGTTGCTTTCAGACTTAATTTTTTCAACTTTGACCAGTTAAGTGTTTTAAAGCAATTTTCATTTTTTACAACCTAAATCAAAGATTCCAGGTTACTATTTAACTGTTGTTTAATAGTTAAGTTCAGTCATATTTCTCTCATGTATGTCCTAATTTTTATTTTTAAGCAGATTAAAGAGCATTTTTGACCTAATATTTATGAGTCGGACCTGTTTTCACTCCAAACATTTGGCTGCTTTTAGGATGAGCAGGTGTGCCAGCATTTGTTCCTTCAGTCTCCATATGTTCAGACTGGATAACGTCTGGAAGAAAGAGCGAATTATCGTCCTCTGGATTGAAGTTGCTATCCAGCCGCCTAGTTATCATTTTAAATGCCTCAATCAGTTGAGATTGTTACACCACCCACTCAGGTCACATTTCCTCAATGAGTCTGGAAGATTGTCGGAGTGTTGCGTTTCTTTGCACGAGCTACAAATATAGACTTGTTTCCTTAACAGCTTCTGACTGGAGAACCTTAACCTTCTTTCATGTGATTTCCTTGTTGCGGCTTGCTCTCACGGCCCTCTCCCTCTTCCTTTGTCGTCCTCGCAGCTGTCAAATCAGTTGGAAAAAGAGGCCAGTTGGAGGAAAGGTCGGAGGTCAAACAGTGATGGGCATGAGGGTAAACCTAAAAAGAAGAAAAGTGAGGCAAAGGTTTGCTACTCTTTATCTATTTCTTAGTGTTGTGGGTCCTGTTCAGTCCTCTTTGTTTTTAATTGCTAGTCTATAAAATCTTTATTTAGTGAATTTGTAAAATATTCAGATTATTTAGACACAACTTTGGACTCCTTTGTTATTATTTTGATTGTCTTTCCACTATAGCTTAAAGGAATAGTACACCCAAAACATGATTAGCCTTCATTTTCTACTCACCTCCATGCTGAACAACACTCTGGAGTACTTTTTTGATATCTCAAATGCATCTGGAGATCTGGGAGGCTTCTTGCTGTCTGCTGACATTCAAATAATGGAGGTCCATGGCGCCCGAGACAGAAAGGTCCATAAAAGTCCACAAAAACGTGTCAATATTCCTCCATACTGCTCGTCCAATGTAATCCAAGTGTCCTGAGTGGGTAGCATCCAGAATTTACTCGAAACGAAGTCATTTAGAATGTTTTTAGAGCATAAACAGTAGTGTATAGGATTTCCTAATAGCGCCCCCATGCGCGCTCACGATTCTACGGAAGCCGGCAGACCAAACCGGAAGGAAGTGCGCATTCAGCGTCTGGTCTGCCGATAATGCAAGCGTAGAAGAAGAAATGTGCTGTTTACCTGTGCAAAGAAAGAAACAACGAAAGAAAAATGTCTGAGGACTTCAGTGTTGAGGAAGAGCATGAGTTCTTTGCCGAGCTGAATGCGCTGGTTTGGTCTGCCGGCTTCCGTAGAATCGTGAGCGCGCATGGGGGCGCTATTAGGAAATCCTATACACTACTGTTTAGGCTCTAAAACGTTCTAAATGACTTCGTTTCGAGTAAATTCTGGATGCTACCCACTCAGGACACTTGGATTACATTGGACGAGCAGTATGGAGGAATATTGACAAGTTTTTGTGGACTTTTGTGGACCTTTCTGTCTCGGGCGCCATAGACCTCCATTATTTGAATGTCAGCAGACAGCAAGAAGTCTCCCAGATCTCCAGATGCATTTGAGATATCAAAAAAGTACTCCAGAGTGTTGTTCAGCATGGAGGTGAGTAGAAAATGAAGGCTAATCATGTTTTGGGTGCACTATTCCTTTAATGTCAGCTCAGGCTTTTCTAAACTACCTGAACATTAAAACACAATGCTTGTTCTGAAAGGTGCAGCTCTATCTGTAAGTATCAATCGCAACAAGCTAACCTGGGATTTAGCCATCCCCTCTGACTAGATCTGCTTTTCTCTGTATTATTCAAACAGCATTCTATGATGGCTGCAGACGGTGGCGGCTTGTCTCCAGGAACAAAGCCTCACATCTGTGAACACTGCAATGCATCCTTCAGAAGCTCCTATCACCTGCGCAGACATGTCCTCATTCATACAGGTTAACACTTTCTTCATCATTCAAGATTAGTTTTCATTAAATTATTTATGGGATGATTTGAGCTATTTTCTACTCAAATGATTCCAACCATCTGCTTATTGAGAAATTCCTACCTTTTTAGCCATTATCTTGGGAGAAATGTTCTACAACTAGTTTTTTTATTTTATTTTATATTTCCTTCTTAAATTTCCAAGCTTTTTTTATTTTATTTTTTTTGAGAAAAGAATTGAAAACTCCAAATCCCAAATGAATAATTCATTTTTTATATATATATATATATATATATATATATATATATATATATATATATATATATATATATATATTTCCGGCTGAAGTAGGTTTTAGACAAAGACTGATGTGTTTTCGGTAGTTTTTAAAGAGCAGATTGTTTTTATTGTTTAGACGCCATATGTTGTTAGAAAGCTTCAATAATCCTGGATAAAGTGAATCTCTGTGTGCCTGGGTTGTATCATGGGATATACAAACATTACAAACAGTGAAAGAGTTCAGCTTTAATTAGCGGCAGAAAATTCATGGCACGTTTTTTTTTCTTTGTAAAAGCTGTTCTAGTGCTTTATGAATCTGTTTTTAAATGACCGTTTCTTTACACCCAGTTACCTGTCTGGGCTCCAACTTTTGATATTTTTCTTGATAATAAACCACCATGCTTGGCTGTAGTTTTACTTCATGTCCGGGGTATTTATCCTCTGGTCTTTATTTCAAATAGGTAAACAAAACACTAATCAGTAATTCTCTATCGACTGATATAGAAGGCTAAATGTTTTAGATCTCAGGCTTATGGTAGATAGTTAAAACTATAAAAAAAAAACTCCAAAAGAGAAATTTTTTTTTTATTGAAATATTTAAAACATGTAGTTGAAATGGAAAAACTAATTTATATAACTACCTGTGTTTGTGTTTATAAAAATAAAATATACTAATATAGTTATATGCCCTTCGTTTTATGTTTATCTTTTTTTTTTATCAATCTTGCAAACAAAAAAAAAATTGTTTTTGTATTTCCAATTCACAGGGTTTCCGCGGGTCATTAAAAATAATTAAAAGTCATTAAATAAATTTTTTAATTAAGGCCTGATTTGGCATTAAAATTTATCAAATGCGATAATCTTGGCATTTAAAATGCTTTATTTAGAAAGAAAAGTTTATAAAAGCAATTTATTAAACAATATATATATTTGCAAATATATCGCAATATATTTGTGCGGAACTGCTTCTGGTTGATCGTAAAGCCGTATGTTCTGAAAGGAAGCTCGCTGCGGAGAAAAGGCTGGAGAATGGGGAAAATGCTAATTTCAACAAAAGTGGCTGGAAATAGAGGAATTGCAGCCTGTCAACGGAAAAGATGAAGGAATTTGCCGTGTATATATGAGAGTCATGGGTAATTATTTCTAAGAGCATTAAAAATCATTAAATTAGAGTTAATCATTCCTGTATAAACCCTGATTCAGCTGTAATTGAACCAGGTTTTAAAATCATCTAGTTTTGAGTTGTTGTTTCATGTATTCATACAGTACTATGACCTTGTAAGATTTTGAGCCAAAAAGTTCACCAGAGAAATTAAAAACCTAAAAGTAGTAAAAACTAGACATTATTAAAATATTAGTAACAAAGAAGAAATAGGAAAATTATTCTAAAAAACAAATTAAAACTGATTTGGAGAAAAAAAGTTTCAGCCATGACTAAACTAAAATAATAAATAAGTACTTCTATAATCTCTTATATTCCCCCTGTGCAAGAGTGCTTTTTTTTTTACATAGAACAAAGCATCATTTAATTAAGGGACATATGATGGTTCATTTTTTTTTTTTTTTTGAGTATCTTGCAGATAAATTCTCCTAACCTTATGGTTATGCTGTGATTTTTATCCAAGGTGAAAGACCCTTCAGATGTAACCAGTGCAACATGAGTTTCATCCAGAAGTATCTTCTCCAGCGGCACGAGAAAATCCACAGTGGTGAGTAAATTAAAGCTGCGATGTTGTGTTGCTCAGAGCAGGAGGAGATTGTCAACCTTCCCTCCTGCTTTTCCACCTGTTTCAGGAGAGAAGCCATTCAGCTGTGACCAGTGCAACATGCGATTCATCCAGAAATACCACATGGAGAGACACAAGAGAACGCACAGCGGAGAAAAACCATACAGATGTGAGACCTGCCAGCAGGTAAATCCCGATCTTTACCACATTTTAAAGATAAACTCTTTTCCAGAACTAATAAAGACTATGTGGTGTTTGTGCTCCTCAGTATTTTTCTAGAACAGATCGACTTCTTAAGCACAAGAGAACCTGTGGAGAAGCCATTAAAAAAGAACTGAATCCTGTGATGATGGATCTGGGTTTTGTGGACATGGGACAGGGCAGCTATGGAATTACTCAGGGAAATGTTGGGGTCACTGGTAGGAAGAAGGGAAAGTCAAAAGGTTCTGCAGCGGGAGGGGAGCGCAAGAAGAAGAAGGGAGACGTAGGAGGTGCGAGGGAGTCGCACATTCAGGGAGCTGTGTCCGGAGGTTACAGCATCTATGAATATTCTGTGGAGAGTCCCACTGTGTCTTCCTCTACCGAGCCAGGGCCTAGCATGCAGCAGGGACACCAGAGCCAAGGTCCAAAGATGGCCTTCAAGAAAGCTAATAGGAAGAGTCTGACTAAAGCAGGTGTGGAGAATGGGAAAGCTGGCTTGTTGGCGCAAGGAGGCGTCGGCGTGATGCAGAACAGCGAAGTTAAAGTGGAATCCACCAGCAGCAACTACGATGATGCCATGCAGTTTGTAAAGAAGCGACGCTACCTTCAAGCAGCAAACAATGCAGCACCCTCTGGGACCGCGGTGCCAGGAGGGCCCGGCAGCGAGTACGACGTCAGCGTCCATCTGTCCTCACAGCCGTCTTCTCTTCAGGGTGGGATCTCAGGAGGAATGGACGCCGACGGTCCTCTGAATCTGGAAAAGTCGGGGATTACAGATGAGGTGCTGCAGAGCCTCCTCGACCACTACACCCAGAAACCCGACATTCACTTTGACATCGGTGACCAGCATGTGGAGCTGAGCCCTGCCTCAGTGAATGGTTCTGACACCAACACCTCAAGCCCATCTGGAGACAAGACTTTAGTGATGCATGAATACTCCCGCTTCTTGCTTCAAGCTTTGGAGCGTACCACCCACAGTGCCAGTTTCCCCCTGGGCCCAGGGCTTCCCCCTTCCTCAGGATCCTTCACCAATTCCCACACAGGAAACCCCCTCTATGCTGACAAGAACATCTACAGCGCATCCCACCTGGATTGTGGCTTTGGCCAGCCGGTGTCTTCCCCTTCCCTGTCCTCCATGCCAAAGTCTCACTTTGCGATGCTAAACTGCTCATCCCCGCAGCACAGCTTCAACCTGAGCAGCCTGGAGGCTTCCTCACACCAGCAGCTCACCCCGTCTCAGGAGCTCACCGAGCAGATGGAGAAGCAGCACTCCTCCACTCCTCCCTCATCCTACCAGATCAGCCCATCCGACCTGAGCGCCCAGAAGGATCGGTCAGCGGTCAAGAATGACTCTGCTGGGGTCTACCTTTTGGTTTCCTCGCACGAACTGGCCTCCCTGGACTCCTCTAAGCCTTCCTACCAGATAGAAAATTTCGTCCAGGCCTTCGGCTCCCAGTTCAAATCCGACGTTCATGGTCTGTCTTACAGCACTGACTCTGGTGGGGAAGTGGATCACAGGATAAGGACGCCGGTGTCGGATTTCTCAGGGTATAGTTTGCTATCTGACGTCAATGAGCCAGTAAGTACAGGTTCCAAAACACCAACAAGCCAAAGCTACCGATGAAACCTGAGAGAACATTATCGTTTCATTTTAATGTCCTCTGCTCCTATTTTATTATTCTTATTTTTTTTGTGAATTCTATATTTTATTTACACCGATGCTCTGTCTTTATTCCTACTTCTCTCCATGCAATAAGCCTTCAAGGCGTCTTTCGAATGCAAGACTTTAGAAAGCATCTGTTGAGTGTATGATATACCAGGAATTGCTGTGCCAGTAGGTCAGGTCTTTATTTATGAATTCAAACGTATTTTCTTTTCTAGTAATTTTTTAGCAGGAGCAGTAAATTTCACATTTCCAATGCGCTGATTTAACTCTACAAGTGTTTAAAATGAGAAATGATGGCAGGGAAACAGCCCAGAACTGAAGTGGCAAAAAAAAAAAAGGAAATCCTAAAATAAAATGTCAAAAGGTATTACTCAGGAAAACATGGGAAAACGAGCCGCTCACGGTGGACAGTGAGCTCACTTTTCAGAAGTGTTTGTGGTTTTAAAAAAAATCTATATTTTTCTTATTATTTTTTGTGTTCTTAAATGTTGAATGAGTTTGACATGAAATGGATTGCTGCCAGCTCACTTGAACACTGAAAACACTTTCTACTTGGCTGTATAGAGATTATGGTACTTTTATCTCAATGTGAAACTCCTGTCTTTTTCAATAAGGGCCGTGCTCATGGATATCTATATATATTTATAAGAATATATATGTATATGTACAGTAAGTGTTGTAGGGTTCTGCCGTGAAGTAGAAGGAAGAATAAGCGCTGTTGATCGGGCTGAAGAGTCTGTATTATATTTTGGGATGTCTTCTTCAGCCAGTAGATGTCGCTGTTGGACAGCTGTAGATTGGCCTCTTCCTCTCTTTACTCGTCTTCCTCCTATTTATCTAAAAATGTGCTTTTCGCACGTCGAGCTGCTTTTTCACATAGTTTAAAGTACACGATTGGTTAAAGTGCTGACCTGAGGAAATCCCCCAGGCTTTCAGCCATTGCTGTCGGGGCGTACGCATGCAGGGGGGAGGCCTTGTGTTTCACGTGAAGGATGTGGAGAGCTGATTTTTCTTACTTATCGGGGAGGGTTTAGCTTAGGCTTATGGGTGGGCTTCTTTTCTAAAGTAACGTGATATTTAATCGGGATATTGTAAGTGTAATTACAACCCCTAGTTTTAGTTGCCTGGATACCAACCTTAGCGACTTTTGCAGATTTTATTAACTTTGGGGATAAAATATGTTTATGATCTAATGTTTCTGCAGCCATGTGCTGATCTTTTTTATTTAGATACTTTGAGCAAATGTTATAATCATCCCTTTAGTGACTGGGTGTCTATTCCCATAAAGAGCAGGCAGTTAATATATGTAGAGTCTTGCTTACACTTTTAAAATGCCCAATTTGTTTGTCAGGACAGTAACCATGGAAAGGTCTGTAGCGGGCTTTGAGTGCTGGAAACGTTTCTGCTGCTCTGAATGAGTCTTTGAGCCCATATGTGCCCCTATTTTACAGTTCTGGTCCACAGTTTACATACACAAATTATTGGCTGGATTCTTTTTTTTTTTTTTTTTTTTTTTTTTTTTTTTTTGACTTTCAAAATAATGGGACATTCCATTTTTGAGACTAGCTGATGATACAGTTAAGAAAGTAATTCCTCTTAGCAAGATGCAGAGAAACCCCATGGTTTCCGTAGTTACCAGCAACCTTCTGGCTTTAATCTGACAGGAAATGTGATGTCTGTGCAAAAAAAACTTTTAATCCCCGCAGATGCTGATCAATTTAAGCAGGGTTGGGATAGAGGGCCATTCCAGAACTTATATCTTAGTTTATTTTATCCAAATTTCAACCATCTTACTCAGACTTTCACTGTTTGATGAAAGGATATTGGTTAGGATGTTCAGGAACCACAAAGTAATAAACTAGAAACTTCTAAAACACCAGCATTGTGCTGTTTACATGCACAAACTTTTTTATTGAATGTATTTGGACTTAAATCATCATTTTATGGACACAAAATTAAATTATTTAATCATATCTGTTTACAGCCAGTCTATATTTTGCATAGAAGCACTTTGACTTGAGTAGAGATGTCACGTTTCTTTAAAACAACCGTAGAAGTTGTACTTCTTCCCATTGTTTGGTCTCAGAATCATACTTTGTTGTTCTGAGAACAGCCTTGGAAAGTAGCACTGTTGCTCTTGCTGTGTGGCAGAATGAGATAAATGAATATCCTGTTAATTAAAGCCTCCATGTAAAGCGGGTTTAGATGGATGCGGTTAAGATCTTCTCGAGTCAAATCAGATCAAAATCCATATTCTTCAGCTGCATCTCAAATCATCTTATTGCTGATTATTTGCTTGTTTGGACATTTCCAGTGGTTCTTTCCCTCCAGGTTATAACCTGGGGGAAAATCACTAAACTGGGTTTAGAGTGGTTAAAAATAGGACTGAAACTATTAATCTTGATTAACCGATTATTTAAATCATCGTCAACTAAGTTAGTGATTGATTCATCATTGACTGGAATATAGAGACTAACATGCCTTTAGCTGACAGAGCAACCCACTTTGAGCAAATTTGTAAAAAGATATATAAATGTTTTGCATTTAAGATTTAAAAAAAAATCTTTTTGTCTGTCAATATGCTCTTTCCTCAAGTGAATACGTGAATTTCATTAAAATTTTTCTTCAAGGAAGGAAGAATTTTAATGTAAGTTGGCCCCTGTTAAAACAGTCCAAATTTAAACCTGCCGGAAAAGGTCCCGACCCTCAACCCTGACTAATATGTATGGACGAAATTTAAAGCTGGATTTGTGCCACAGAAGAGACCAGTTATACCAATAAAGAGTCCAAACACCAATTAACTCAACCCACAAAGTTTAAATATTGCAAAATTCCTACAAATGTTTTCTCAGAACACTAGAATAAGGTCAGTATCAAAATGCAAAAATGTTGACTCCATCTCCAAATAATGGATTATATTTAAAATGCATGGATCACTTAGTCTAAATGCAGTCTAGTTACATAAATAAACTTCCAATAAAATCAGTTTATGTGATCAGTCTTCCAGATTAAACAAGCGGTGCCATAAAAAGTTGCAACCTGCTTTAAAACAGAAGAAAACTGGAGTTTGGTTTATTTCAGATCTTTTTTTTGCCTTTTTTTGTATAATTTTTACCACAAGAGATATTGGATTAAACAAAAAAATATATATAAATTAATCTTTACATTTATACCATGTTCCACCTTACAAAAAAAATTATCCAAATAAATTATAAGGCCATGGTTTGTGTGTTCAAACTTGTGAAGAGAGCTATTTCTTTCCAATAATGGTTAAATATGACAGTAGAAACTGTAAAGCTGTTGTATCAATGAAAGTAAAGTGTCATGAACAATAATCAGCCTCACATATACCTCATCTCACTGCAAACCAGGGGCAAAGGTGTCGGAGGTTTGTGTGTAGCAGAAACTGTGTTTAAAATGTTCCTGTTTAGTGTGACTGTTGAAAGGGGTGTTTTGGGGGGAATCTTTTGTATGCGACACTTGTGTCAACCGTCATGACGTGTAGCTGATACAGCCAGTGTTCAGTCCTTTAATCGTCTCTCAGCTCCATGTTGCAATCAGTGTAGCATTTCTTATTGTTTACAAGAACTGTACAAAACACTACACCCAGCTTGGTTTTGTTACTTTTTATTTTTTATAGTATTTCATCCCTACAAAGCCAAACTTTTCAGCCAGCATTCTTCGAATTAAACATTTCAAAGTGATGACTTAAAATGTGACTGAATGGAGACAAAACAATAAAAAACTGCTGTTACCATAAAGGGCTTTGTTTCTCTTTTATGTGAAGTGTTAGTGATGATATTACTGTTGCTGAACAGTTGTGGGCTTAAAGAACAAGCTGCCACAATATTGTAGCCTTTCTTCCACCTGCCACTAGATGGCGATGTTTCTCCTTTAGAATTGGACAAAAGAATTTCTTGCTTTTTACCACAAAGTTAAAGTTCAACCACTTTTACAAGAATTTTTTGTATAAAATTTTACTGTCACTTTTTGTTTAATTTTTAGTCCAGAGTAACCTGTTTTACAGCATTTCCCCAAAAATTGTAAATATTTTACCATTGTCCTCATTTAGTCTCAGACCGACATTCAGTCTATTATATCTCTTTTTAAGCCTAAAAATATCTATTAAAAAAACATAATATACTTAATAGAAAAAAGTATGACAAAGGTCTTGATTTATTATAAAAGTCTTTAAAGTTTAGCTTTAAAAAGCACATTGTTTTAACATTTTAAAACAAACTTAAGTAGAGCTCTTTGGGTTTGGCCACTTTTCTATGCTCTCATGTCAATGTCAATATATTCCTTATAATGCAGAATATTTTCTCGTTTCATTTTTGTTTAGCACACAGTCAAATCAGTCTAAGTTCAAACCTAACGTTAATGTTTTTTTATGTCATGAAGAACAGCAGCCAACTGCTTGAAAAATGTAAATATTAGCTTAAGTCGATAGATTTAAGCTAAAATCAATCGATTTTAGTTCAAATGGGGGGGGGGGTGGTGGGGGGTGAGTTTTCTATAATAAATGTAATTTTTTCTAACAAAACCAGGGACACAACATCTAGCTTGATTCACCATCCTGAAGTTGCTTAGGATTAATATGAAAATTACAAAATGTGCATTTTTCAATAAGTATCTAATGGTAAATAAAAGCGTTTCTCTTGTCCAGAAGGTTTACATGTATTATTTTTCAGATCTTGAGCTCAAATCATTGATTTTGAAGAATTTAATTTAAAATTAAAGAACTTTTTTTTCAGTTCTGAACTGGGCCTTTCTGATCAAACTCTGCTTCATCCATTATGAAAACAGCTTGAGTCTATTGCCACTGCTGATAAGTGTCTCCACATCATAATACTGCCACCACCATGTTCACCATTTGCTAGGCATGTTTGGGGTAAGGTGCGCTGTTTGGGTTTCTCCAATTCACCCTTTTATATGTCTAGGCAAAAAGGTTTATTTCTGGTCTCCAGAAAACTGTCCTCCACATGCTTTTTTTCCTACCTGCATGCAAAGAACACAACTAATATTTTCCATATGCTCCTCCAGCATATTCACAGTCTCCTTGATGTATCTGTCTGGTTGGCCATGTGGATAACCATATGAAATACTCTATAATTTCAGATCATCAATTAAGAATAGCTCCTCCAAGATGTTCAGAGCTTGGGATACATTCCCCCTTCACTTGCCTTTTTGTTCTGTTTACTTTGCATGTGTTAAATCCCCAAAATAGAAAAAAATAGCCCCATGCTACTGTAGGTTTCATTAATTACATGAAATCTTAGACTTTGACTTAATAGCCTATTATTTTCAGACAAAACATTAACCTTTTAAGTTTAGAATCATTTTATTGCCTGAATCCCAAATCTTTTCATAATGCATATTTGGGTAACTTAAACAGATTTTACGTTCGCTTTAAATAACCCAACATCGTGAGAAAATCCATGACCTACGTAGGGAAAGTCTCAAAAGGTGAGGCCTCTAAAAGTTCACTTTTACTAAGAATTGTATTCAGTGCTGTGAAGTTGAGAGATTATAGGAAAGCTTGTGTGTTCTCTCTTTCTTTGAAGGGTAACCTGGTGAACTGCACGGTTCAGGGACTCTTTTAAAATCCCATCACACCCCATAAAAGTGACCCAACAGCCCACGTTTCTGGAAGGAGTGCAAACACTGACAAGAAGCTTATCTCCACATGCCCTCTCCTAGTGAGTTGAATGAGTTATTTATTTGAAGGCAGGTTTGTTAAAACAAACACAAAATTGTCACATTCCACAGTTTAAACCCCAATTTGACTTTAATTTCCTTCAGTAAGGGAAGTTGTTTGAACAGTGAGGGCATCCTGGCTGCAGGCAGATCGGTCTGTTCCTATTGCATATGCATCCTCTTTAGAATCAAGCAAGCGATAAACACATTGCATATACATCCTCTTTAGAATCAGGCGCTAAACACTGCATGCAGCTTACTTTTTCTGGAGCTATATGTGTTGTTTTTCTGGAATCTCATTAATGGAGGGAGAACTGACTCAAACTTTGGGGGATTTCAGTTAGAAATTCACTCTATTTATGGCCATCGTAAACTGATACCTACTAGAACTGGGACTTATTTACTTCATGTTCAACCTTTAACCATGTCACACACCAGTGATTTGATGGATCTTTTACATTGCCATGTTCTGTTTGAGGAAATAAACCACTTCCTTGTTATAATAAAAAGAGAACTGTTTGCATTAAAATCTTTGTTTGATGGAATCATTGCATCAAAATGGAGAGTTTTAGCCTTGTTGTGTACTTTTGTCCACACCCAGCACCTACTCAGCCTCTTCCTGTTAATAAATAACCATATCTTTTGTTTCCATGTCACCATGATGTGACAAACGTGTACGCTTGGTTGATTTGATTCAAATTTTCTGATAATCATTATACGTCGCTGTTGATCAGAGATGCCTCATAGGCCATAGAAGGTTGTGGGGAAAAAAGCGCCATAAAAATGAAGGATGCAACACTGAGGAATGTGACGCTGTTTTTGTGGAGAACCAAAGCAGTTAAAGTGGGTGTGAAAGAGCCACTTCAGCCCACCAAAACAGATGCTGGGTTTAACCCAGTGTGTGAGCTTTGTGCCCTTGGTGTCTGCGCCTTTGTTTGCTTTAGCTGCTCTCAGAATGACGTGAATGATGATGTTCTTATCTTTAGGCTTGGTAAATGGCCACATATTGGGCTGTGTGCACAGAGAGATAGGAAAAGGCGAGAAAAAAAAGCTATAAAAGGAAGGAGTGAGCTTTGATGATGTTGAAATATGAGCCACAGCTAAGGATGAATTAGGTAAAGATGTAAAATTGGATTTTTATACGCAGGCCGAGTCGTCTCGCTGTCATGCACAGTGAGTTACAGTTTTTTTCCAGACTATAAGCCACAAATTTTTCCTACACTTTGAAACTTGGAATATTTGAAGCTGCACATTTTTCCTAACCACCAGGGGGCGGAAGTCAAAATTGGAAATCAAAGAAGGAGCAGATTTTCGTTTAGCACGTGCTAGCAGTAGGCCCAACGGATAACAAATGTCCAGAATTCATATATTTTGACATTTTTTTGGTGCATTAAAGCTGTAAAACCAATGAAGAGACTGTGCACAACTTCTGCACAGCTAAAGCAAAGCTGACTAAGCCTCATCTTTAGAAGCTCTTACTGTCACGAGTCAACAAGCTAACAGAAGCTAGCGTACTTCGTACTCAAAGGGTGAAATGTAGAGCTCCCCCTACAGGTTTGGTGGGAGACAGTTTAGTATATATCAGCGGCGTATATCCAGGTGCGGCTTATATATTTAAGTTTCCAGTAACAAAAAGAAACAACAACAAAAAAAACATCTTTGTGGGTGCGGCTTAAAATCAGGTGTGCACTATAGTCTGGAAATTACGGTAATTTGAATAACGTATTGGGCAACCTTTAAGCAGCTCTGGTGAATTACTCATCTTAGAGGTCAGACCACATCCTGCCAATTAAATAACATCTCTGGTTAATGTGTGTAAAAAGCCAAACAATGAAGTCATTTATTGCAGTAGCATCTCACACACACAACTGGACTTCTGGGATCATTTCTTTACCTTCCTCAGCCTCTTTACCTTGTAAGGTCTCAATAAAAGGTCTCAATAAAAACATACATAGGGGCTAACTGTCCAGTCAGTTCTCAGGGCTGCTGGAAAAAATAGTAGGCCCACAGCATCACATATTCTTTACTGTGCTTCATAGTGAGTCTGAGGTGCCCTCGCATATATGATCCTCTGTTTGTACAGGACCCACAGATTTTACAGTGTTTTGTTTTCAAGTGTTGCTCCAACTGTAGGTAGGTGCTGCTTTTCTTGACTTCTGATGATGAATAAATCTATTCTCTTTTGTTTTTTTCAGTTTGAAGAGAAGCATATGTATGACTATGACCACCTTGAGAACATGCAGTGTAAATGGAAAATAAATGTTCTGTTAAATGTAATACGTAGGACTGGTTAAGGTGTTTTTTGTTTTTTTTTTATTAAAAGTAAAGTCTTTTTTGATTGATCATTTTCAAATCATGTTACTGCAACAAAAAAAACGTTGTTTTGTTGCTTTTAAATTAACACAACTGTTATTAATTTATGGCAGTATGTTAAAACTTTAGGAGAATAAATTGTTGAATAGATTTTTAGATTTATAGCCATTTTGAAAATTCTTGCTGCTATAAAAGCTCGGCATTGTAAACAAGTGACCCCCTGACCTCATCCCTCTGTCCGGTGTTGTTTAAAGGGCAACACACACCAGGAGCTGCAGTACACAATCTGATAAAGTCAAATGTAAGTTTATTTCTGTGGTGGGTTTAATAAAAATAGTTGCCTGAAGTGCTGCATGGGCAAAAACACTCATACATTGTTTATTGTAGAGCATCAGCGCACATGGCAAGTTCAAAGAGACATCCCATTGCTACAACACTCAAAAAAGAAAGCTGAAATAATTCATTAACACACTTTATAAAAAGGTATTGCTTGTCAACTACAGAATCACAAGCTCATATCTGATCAAACATTTTAGAGCAAATAAGTAACGGTTTACAAAAAGAACAAAAAAAAAAACATTTCCTGACCTAGAGCCTGTGTGGAGGGCTTAAAGAGTCTGATCTGTCCTTGGAGCTGCAGGTTACAGAATTCAGGCTCAGACAGGACAGATTATTGGACTTCAGACTTCATTATTGTTATCAGACACATCGCACTACTTTATGTTATTGCTGGACCCCTCTTTAGAGCATC